GTGGTCGTAGCCGTCAAACCGCGAACTCACTTATTATGCTCATTGTCAAGAAAGCCCACGTATTGTGGCGCACTGCCTCTACATTGTGCGTGGCCCGACACGCAGTAGGCTAGTTTTTTTTTTTTCATTATATCTACAACGTTTTCAAAAATTATACTATGTTTAGTATGAAAATACAGCCTTAAAACACTCTTAATAATTTGAATAAAATATGATTTATTTATTTTTTATTTTTATTTTATAGGATAGGGTGACAACGAGCACACAGTTCACCTGATGGTAAGTGGTTGCTGTTGCCCATAGACATCTACATCTATCCTCGTTTGCAAATCAAAATGCAGATGCGTTGTTACCCGTGAGGACTAAGATGGTATGCCTCTTTTCCAGTTAAAAGGGTCTCCGGTTCTCTACACTTACCATACGAAACACAGCAGTGTTAAGCTATTCTCGTATTCTCTGAGAGCGTGGCCCTTTCCCGGTCGAGCCGACCCATTCGTGCCACAACTATACTACTAATATAGCTGCAGCATGGCTCTACCATATATGAAATTTACTTACAAGTAACGTTATATAAAGTATATATTTAATCAATTTAAAATTAAGTTAGTTATCTACAATTTCTACAAAGCGATACATCCAATGAATTGGTATTGCATATGTATTTTTAAGTTTGGCCTCCTAACAGTAACAATACGCAAAGTAATAAGTACTAGACTTCTTTAAGTTGTATTTAAATATTATAAATTTTAGGAGATTAAACTTTTATCATAAATATAACGACAAAGTTCCAAGATATAAACTCCTATGGAACAGCGGATTTGCTCTTGATTCTGGAATCCCATAGGCACTTAAAACTTGAAGACAACAAGATTATCACCCGTAATTAAAGTAACACTCATTCAGATAGCGGGCTGTACAAAATCTTCGCCATTCACACGCCGGCTTACGAATATTAACGGCGTGGAATTACAGGTATTACGCCGGAATTACGGAGTATTATAGCGACGGATATCCGAATGACAAGCAGTACGTTGACAGATACGCAAGGGATGTATTACACAACGCGTAAAGTCACATACAATAATATCTTCGCTGACGAATTTAATTATTGAGAGAATTTGAAACGAGTCATTTTGGAAATCGCAATTTTAAGTCTCTGTGCAGGTTACTATGTCATTAAATGTTAGCCATAATCTAAGTTTGTGTGTGGATTATAATTTTTTTTCTTCTTCTTTTTTTTTCTTCTTATTAAAAACGTTATCCCCGCACTAGGATTTTCTCCTGTACCGTGGGGGCAGTTTACAAACACAAATTGCACAAAGACAAACATCCCGACTCGGAAAACTTATTTAGGCCATACAAATACTTGTTCCGTATAGGATTCGAACCCGTGGCCCCCAGCGGTGCAACTCATTGCTAAGCCAATGCGCCACGGAGCCGTCAATATGTCAAATTATAAACCTTTTACCTATTTTTTTACAATTTTTATGGTTTATAAAACTAAGTGACGAACCAGAACAAATACATAATAATATGTAATATGTACCATATTATGACAGTAAGTAAAAAGAGTCAGGTTTGCCACCATGAATACAAAAATTTGTCAGTGATTAAGGATCAAAATACTGATGTATACAAAGAATATGTCTTAATGGAGGGCATGTTAGTAAGACCTATCCGATATTGAAAAAAATATTACCGCTGGGTTTCTTAATGTTTCTTCTCAGGACAAGATTTTTCCAAACCAGTAGTAAAAGAAAAAAAATCAATAAAAATTACTAGCAATCTAAATATCTTAGTAAGTTAGTAATCTATTATACACGGAGTAGAGCGATACTGCAGCTATATTAATTATATAGTTATAGCACGAATGGGTCCGCTCGACTGGGGAAGGACCCCGCTCTCATAGAATACCTGCGTAAAATGCAGCTTAATATGACTGTGTTTCTTATGGTGAGTGTAGAGAACCGGAGACCATTTTTACCGGAAAAGAGGCATTCTATCTTAGTCCTAACGGCTGACAACCCATCTGTATTTTGATTCGCAATCGAGGATAGATGTAGATGTCTATGGGCCACAGCAACCACTTACCATCAAATGGACTGTGTGCTCGCTTGTCACCCTTATCCTATAAAAGCTTTCAATGACACTATTGTAGTCATTGAACATAGCTTATTTATTAATTTAATCCTCATTATACACCCTAAAGTATGGAATATAATAAAGATGTCAATAGGCCATACCATCCACTTATTATCATGTGGATTGTGGACTCGTTTGTCATCCTTATTCTATAAAAATATGGTGCTATCAAACTTTACATTATATTTTCTTTACATGAAACTTGAAAGCGGATACACAAAAAGGTAACACATTGGTTGAAGAATATATAATATGTATGTTTTAAACAAAACACTGTTTGTAAAGTAATATGCTGTGTTATTCGCAGCGTAACGGCACAGGGGTTAAGCGTCGTCGTAAATTTCACAGTACGCGAGCAACCTGATTTAGGCTTTAGTTTAGTTTTACTATATAGTGGCGGTGTAAATATATTTGCTACCCCATATCGTCTTATGGGTGTCGTAAGAGGCGACAGAGGCAAACAAACCAGTAGATAGGCAGCAACGTTATCCTAATAACAAATAAAATAAAATATTTAAAAACTGCTGTTTACAACTTGCCTGCCAAACGTGGCAACTACAGTTAATATTCCATCTATGTATGAGTTGACTAAAGGGGGAGGCCTAAGTTCAACAGTGGCTTTTTAACTGGCTTTAACGATAACGGTAAGTAACATGGTTTTATGTTTTGATTAACTAGATACTTGGCGGTGACGGAAAACATCGTGAGAAATCCTATATATGTCTCAGGAATAAAGCTATATTACATGGACATTTTTTTTATAGAATAAGGGTGACAAACGAGCACACAGTCCACCTGATGGTAAGTGGTTGCTGTGGCCCATAGACATCTACATCTATCTTCATTTGCGAATTAAAATGCAGATGCGTCGTCAGCCGTGAGGACTAAGATGGAATGCCTCCTTTCCAGTAAAATGGGTCTCCGGTTCTCTACACTCACCATATGAAAGACAGCGGCATTAAGCTGCTATTTTACGCTGGTATTCTGTGAGAGCGTGGTCCTTCCCCGGTCGAGCCGACCCATTCGTGCTACAACTATACTATTAATATAGCTGCAGCATGGCTCTACCACGTATAAGATACATGATGTAAAGTCTGCCAATAGATATTGGAACGTTGCGGCTGACTAATATTGCTCCGTAAACCTCTCAGAGGGGGCTTGTACCCAACTGTGGGATATCACATTTAACTAGCGACTATAATTATGTTGGACAATACGACTGGAGATGTTCATAGCCATGCACCTAACAAAAAAGTTGCTGTCTTAAGCGATATGTGTGTAATAACTACTTAATGACCCTACAGTTATAAATTCACATGGAATTAATCCGACTTTAATTTATTGTTCAATTTGAACATAGTTCTTCTTATTTTATTACCATTATTATCCATAAACAATCATTACTATTATAACTATGCCCAATAGTATATTTAAAACCACGACACCAATTAGTATTGCAATTCTGTATTATGATTGCAAGACGAGGGGTTGAGTCGTTCTAGGAAGTATTAAGCTTTAACAGAATTAAAGCGAAAAATAGCAAAATAACGTAGTACATAGTAATAAAAACTGGAGAACCTTTTTAATAAAGTTAAACGAGAATGTTCAATATTCAAGTTTAAGTTTGTTATTTATACATTTATTTACATAAAATTGAAATATATACATTAATAAAAAAAAACTATAATAAAAACTACAGTAACTAAAGCGTTTATCTGTTTGCATAGGTTTCCAGATTTCTAGGAAACGGTTTTAATTAATTTAAATTTAATAGATATGTGGCCATGGTAATATATTATATAAGGTTACGTATTTCAATGTTCCATTTTGATTTTAAGAAAAATTCCAAACCTAAGGATAGAAACGTAAATGATGAAAACGACTTTCCATTTATCACTTTGAACATACGATATTATTCCTTTTGAAAAGAGTAAAAAAAATTGTTTATATTAAAAAGTAAAAGCCGACTTCAAAGAGCTAAAATTAATAAAATAATTTTACATAATAGTTTATGACTTCAATATAGAAGCTATTATGTGGAAATCATTTTATTCTTTTTATTTTTTTATGTCAGTTTTCACTTTTTAATAAAAGTATATTTTGTAACTACTTTTACTTTAATTTCAAATTATATTCTTTCAAATTAATTGAAATGATAGAGTGCGACGAAAACAATGTTCTTTTTTATTTTAGTGCCCGCATCAAGATAATCTGCTGTTTCATTTAAGTATCTTAGTTACGATTGAATATCTTTTTACTTTCAAGTTAAAAAAGTATTTGGAATTTTAATGTAGCGTGCGACTTCTTTGTCTCTAATTAGATATTTACTTATGCTATATTTAACACTTATATGAGTATATGTAATGTCGTGTTTGCTACGCTAATTTATAGATTATTATTATTTCTTCTTTATAATGTTGCATAGACAACAAAAAATATTGTAGCAGCTATAAATTTGAGTATTTTTAAATATGTTTATTATGCCACTGTGAACTTGAGTAGTTTTTATAATAAGGTGCAGAGAAAAATTTTCGTGGTTTATATAACTCAAAGTAGAAATCTACATATTTTTTAATAGAAAATGTATGAGTTTTTGATTCAAATTGACATACTCGTTAGCTGTGATTTATATTTCTATCTTAAAGTGAAAATTATGTATCAATATGCACATTGCAATAAAATGCAAGGCAATAAAATGAAAACAAACACGTCACAATATTTATCACTGAAGACCATTCAGTATACATTACAATGATAATTTCTATATTTAAGTAATTCATATCGCTCTTTGTGAATATTTAGTTTTCGTTATTAATTTGCTACAGAAGAGAAAATTCAGTAGTACTGGCACATGCAAAATGGTTACACGTGAAGAAGAACCATTAAAAGACCAAGTTAAAAATAAGAAAAAGAGTTTAAAGGAAAAAATTGCTTACATAAAAGATAACATAACTCTAGAACCTGTTTTGGCTGGTTACGTTATACCAGGAGTATTATCAAGACTTGCAACTCAAAACCTTAACCTAGATAAAGCATGTCGGGTGAACTTAAAGTATGGGGATGCCGTCTGCGATGCTCTTATTGCAAAAGAAGGCAACATGTATCAAAAAGAAGAACTAAACATTCAAGAGTTAATCGCGTCGATGGAGACTTGGAAAAATATTATATTAACTGCGCTACCCAGTTTCTTAATTTTGTTTTTGGGCGCTTGGAGTGATAGAACTGGAAAAAGAAAGATATGTATTTTACTACCTATTGTAGGTGACCTGCTTGCGTGCTTAAGTAATATACTCAATGCCTACTTTTTTTATGAACTGCCAGTTCAAGTTACAATGTTCTTTGAGGCATTTTTTCCAGCTATTACAGGGAGTTGGATAACAACATACATGGGTGCTTTTAGTTATATTAGTGATATATCTAGTGAAGAAACAAGGACGTTTAGAGTTGGCATAGCAAACTTATGTCTTACAGCCGGTGGACCTATAGGAACTGCATTAAGTGGAATATTATTAAAATATATTGGCTATTATGGGATTTTTACATTAAGCTCAATACTGTATGTATGCAGCATATGTCACGGTATATTTTACATTAAAGATCCGCAAAGGAAAATACAAGATAAGAAATCCGAGGTGAGAAGTTTCTTAAATAATATAATGAGGTTTTCCCGATTACTGCGGAAATTTTAAACATACGTTATTAATAATCTGAGATTCCAGCGCGTAATCAATTACTATACCTATTTGTATTTAATGGAAATACAATTTTATAAGCAAATGTCAGTAGAGAAATACATTTTGGCCAAATCGCCTATCGAAATTGGGCTGCAATTACTTTTACTTTAAATTCAATGTATGAATCTTTAGGAGTAGGGTTGCCGATTTAAAAAGGACCGCAAATAAGTATTGCTTCCTATTAAAGATACGTAAGAGCGAGATGTGATGTGAAAAAATAATATGTAGTACACCGTCCATCAGACAGGGATGAAACTGCACATGGTTGTAAATACGTCACTATGATTTTTAGAGCATTTAAGGCGACGTTACGATGACGTCGCAGTAGTTTTTACCTTTTTTCCTAACAAGTTCTATGTGAAGACAGTAACGCGAATCATAATCATTGGTTCGATTAAAATAATCATATAAAAAAAAAGATACTGACTAGTTATTTTCAAACGTTTAACTTGCAGAGATTCCACAATGAAACCGTTTAAAAACAACTTACATTTATGTTGTCGTTTTATAAAAAACGGAGATGCCGTGATAATTTATTTGTAAATTATTTTTATCTTCATATTACTCTAAATATTAATCAATAAAAATTTATCAGGAAAATTTGGGTACATTTTTAAGAAATAAGAAAAGTTGAGAACAATGTGTGCATGTGCAATAGGCTAATAATCTCGTGCTACAGCTTCACTCTTGTGTACCTTTAATAGCAGGAAACCATAATTTGCGGCCACTTTTTAATAGACAACCCTACTATATCCTAGGCACCCATATAACGCTTCTCTACCGTATATTATCGTATAGAAAAAAGAATTAACTTGAATTTGAGATAGATTCATTAAAATACGTTATGCCCGTTTTCAAAAGACAGCTGTTTACATCTACTAGAGGTTGTGGCCGAATTAAAAGTGACTATTTTAATTTTTTAAGTTTTTTTATATGTCTTTCTTTGATATTAGTGATATTTAAAAAGTAGTGTAATAGTAGTTAGTAGTAGTGAATTTTCACAAAAATCAAAGAAATATACTTTTTAACTTAAAATATTTGCACACAATATTTTAAGTTAAAAAGTATATATAAGTTTATACAAAATACTGCTAGCTAAAACATACTGCTTGATTAATAATTTTTCAAAAAATTGTATTTCCATATATATATACAGGGTTATTTTGCAATAACCGACCAAATTTGCAGATAAGGTTCATCATCATCATTATTTCATCATTACAGCCCTTCACAAGTCAACTGCTGAACATAGGCCTCCCCCAAGGAATGCCACAAAGCACGGTCCTGAGCCACCTGCATTCATCGACTTCCTGCATGTCTTACCAGGTCGTCACTTCATCTAGTGGGGGGCGCCCTACTAATATCATCATACATTTCCTCCACCTCCTCGTCGGGATGTGCCGAGGTTGGTGCGTAAACCTGTATGACCTTCAGCGAATGCCGTTTGGTGATTCTGAGTATAAGGTACGCAACACTCGTCGACACACTCACAATCTTTACAAGGTTGTTAACGAGAGACTTGTGGACTATCAATCCGACACCTCCTTGGGACAGATGGTCGCCTTCCCGGTGATAGAATAAGTTGCCGGATTCGAGAATTATCATGTCCGGCCCCTCTCTTCAGACCTCAGATAATCCTATAATATTCCAGCGCAACTTGCCTATCTCTTCTTGTCAGCTCCAGGATCTTCTCGTCAGTCCTCAGGGTGCGTGCGTTATATGTTGCCAGGTCGAGTAGTCTTAGGTGGCAACCCAACCCCCACCGGAGATTCTTAGCACCAGTTACCATGGTCACCACCGTAGCCAGGAATAGCGGGGTCACCGGGGACTGTGGGCTGTCTCTTTGTGACTTTAATCATGGGGGTTATATTGCCATAGTTGCCACTCTTGGCGAGCGGGTTGGCAACCGCAGTTTCTTTATTGTTCTTTTGCTGTTATCAGAAAGATGCTGCTGCCCATCTTCTACCTCAGTTTCCCTCTGTCGCCTCTTACGACACCCACGGGAAGATATAGGGTAATGGCTAATCTTACTCGCCACCGGGTTCAGTATAAGTAATATAATAAATGGTGAGAAAAAATTAATTTAATAAAATCTCATGCATTCGGTTATTTTTATCTTTTAAATTCAAAATGTCTGGTAATGCATTATTTTAACTGATTTTACAGCGTACGCACTCATTTGTAAAGGGCAATCGGTAGGCAAAAACGTTGGTGCCTATATATCACATTCAATTTGTGATAATTTCAAATAAAAGTCGAAGCCTATTTTTTTTTTTCAAAAACTGCAATAATGGTGTATCATTATTTACATAATTGATCATAAGTTTAAAATTTCGCTAATCTTTAAAAAAAACCCTGTATATAAACGTATTTAAAAATAAACAGATGGGTATATTAATTACGCGATAGGATTTAGAACTATAACGGTGACTTCTACTATACTTTTATAACTAAAATAATTTTATTTTTAAATTTAGTTTTGCTAGTGAAACAGAAACTGTATAATATAATTTTGTATAATGGCAGTTATACAAACAACAACAAATAATTATATCAGTAAAATTGTTCACAGGAGAAGCCATTTAATTTATGGGCATTTTTAAAATATTTCTTTGATATCAAACATGTCAACGATACTCTAACAGTAGCTTTCAAAAATGGTCCAAATCATCGAAGAATAAAGTCTATCTTGGTTCTTGCATCTATTGTTTTTATATATGGACCCGCTCACGGTATGTATTGATTGCTCTATAGATTTTATACAGAATGGGTCCCACATATAGGCATTAATTGAAACCACATAAATACTAGGAACAGACACAAGCTAGTAATACCAGTTACTCGACTCCATCGAGTCAGTAATTCATTCTTGGGGCGATGTATACGCTTTTACAACAAAATTCCAGAAAACCTACAAAATTTGACGTGCTGAAAGTTCAAAAACTTTATTAAACTAAGTTTGTATAAAAAGGGTTATTATAATATTAATGAATTTATGGATGATAATAACCCCTGGAAATGAGGTGATCGCTACCAAGCTATTTCTAATTTGTAGTATTGTTAATTTGTGTAACATACATGATTGTAAGCTGTTATTTAAAAAAAAGTCCCGCTGGGTTTCTTGCTGGTTCTTCCCAGGACAGAGGTTATTATTTATAATCTATATTGAATAAAAAAGTTTCTGTTTCTGTTTCTGTTACAAACTTGTTATCCTCTTTGCTGACGATATACAAAAAATGAACGTAATCGGTCCGGTTATTAGGTCAGAAAGTAGAGTTTTAATTTTAAGCAAATTTTAACCCTCTATAGAATTGGGTCACTAAGTCAATGATTCAACGAACTTGAATATTTGAAAATTAAAAAGTGACGTTGCCACGCATTGCAAACTATTACGACATGACACTATGTACGTCGACAACGGTGTCTTTTGGCGGCGTCCATAAACAAGCGACACGGGGCACGCGGCGTTCTTCAAAGACGACGGCGCAAGTGCGCGCGCGGTTTTGTCGTAGAGTAGAACACCTGTTATCGACCATAAGCTTCTTTCAAAGGGAGTAATGATCGATAAACAAAAAACAATATGTTTAGCTTTAAATACTTAGGGCATGGTATTTTTAGAATTATCGTCCTGTTTTTATAATTCCAAAAACACTACGACCTAAGTATTTAAAACTAAAATTTAAAGCTTTTTTTTTTAAGTGTTTTCTTGCATATTTAGAGATAATAAATTATTTTGACATGATATAAAACCCATAAAAACAATCAATTAAAAAGTCATACTTACTTACCCGTTTCCTAGTCATAAAACGGTAGTTTCGTAAGTTCAATTGTACAAAAATAAACTTTTTTTTAACAGTCAATAACTTGTCAATGGTTATCAAATCAAAAATCAAAATTACTTGTATTCAAATATCTTTATGAATGTGTGAATATGTGAATTTATTTTATATTTACTTTGTTTGAAAATTTCACTTTTTTAATTTACGGGTTTTAATTTAATATTTAATTTTTCTACACTTCTATGGAGCAGTATTAATTGTGGTTTCATTTATTGCATATATATGGATTCCTTACTGCATAATGACTCTTGATTTACACTTATAATACACAACTAAACAATGAAACTAATTTTACGTATTTTATCGCGTTTAATTTAATTACATTGAAACTCGATGTAATTGGCTACACTCGTGATCCAACATAGACTAAAGTACTCAACGTTCTACTGTTAAAGGTAATTTCTATTATAGTATATTTGAGCTTAACTAAGATTAGCTTTAACGTTGGTTTTCTTGCGCAAGTTCTTTTCTAAACAGAGATTTTTCTTAGGAATAATAACTTTTATTAAGTTCAATTCTATTGTTTAAATTTTCCCATGCGCCACTTAACCCGATATTCCAATTCCCGCTTCTAAGTTATGCCAGTCGCCTTGCGTAGATCCGCTTCTAGAGCAGCCCCCTCATTACAATCTCCCATGACATAATATTTAACCAGCCCATTACTACAATAATTTGCAATTTAGAAATAGATTTAGAAATAGATACAAATACTTCAATCCTTTCATAACCACAGGTGTGTTCTGCAAAACACTCCAAACCTTTTGTGATTCTTCTTTTACTTTGTCAATCTACTTGTTATTTACTATTATATAATAGTATATTATATAATAGCATAGATCGCTTCTATATAATGAAAAAACTAATCATAAAAATTGAGAAGAAAAAACTACTGTAAGAGGATTTTGTTCATTTAAAGTTGCTTTTAGTAGCATCGGCTGCTATGGCCATAAATATATTTTAAGTACAGTGGAATCCGTTTATAATGACATCGAAGGGAAATAACAAACACGTCATACTAAGCGGACGTCATATAAAGCATTTTGTAGAAAGTGCAGTTTTTGTTAGTAGGTATGGATTTATTTTAATAGAGAAAAATCTTTAATAAAAGTAACTTAAATTCTTAATAATAAATTCTTGTTTTTAAATTATTAAATTGGTCACTCAACAATATCAATGATTACATTGAGATTGTTTAGTGACCAACCCCAAATTCCCTTGCGAGAGATGAGTTGAATTCTCCATTTTCTAAACTGCACGTGCACTGACGTTGAGATTTCATTTTTTTTCACAAATCACTAACAAACAATGCCGTGACCTTCAACAACACTCAAAACAAAAAAAAAAGCCACGCACGCGCCGAACGTCGTCAGGTATCAACTGACTCTCCTGAACACTGGCGAAGGTGTTAGGAATCATGTCGGTCACTATAACCGGACACAATTTAGTAAAAATGGGTCACAATAAGCGACATGTCAGTATAAGCGAAGTCATTATATCCGACTTTATTATAAAGAATAGGGGGTATTACACCCATTTTCAAAAAGTATTTTAAATGAATCCTAGAGTGATAGTGAACCACTATAATTTTTATATAAATTTTTTATAACCGGATAGTGACATAAAAATTACTTCTAATCTATCATTTTAAATTTTCACATGAAAATGCTAGCCGCCATACTGTTCATCTTGTGACGTCACTGTCGTAGAATTTTGACAATTTTGCAAAGGAATAAGATACTTTTGAATGTTTAATAATGATTTTTTTTTATAGGAGAGGGGGCAAACGAGCATGCGGCTCACCTGATGGTAAGTGACTACCGCCGCCCATGAACAACTGCAACACCAGGGAGGGAATTGCAGATGCGTTATCGGCCTTTTAAAAAGGAGTACGCTCTTTTCTTGAAGGTCCCTAAGTCGTATCGGTCTGGAAAAATCGCTGATGGTAATCGATTCCACAAGGAAGTCGTGCGAGGAAGAAAACATCTTTATGGGCGGCGGTAGTCACTTACCATCAGGTGAGCCGCAAGCTCGTTTGCCCCCTCTCCTATAAAAAAAAAATCTTCTAAATCGCACAGTGGTGGACTGCCAATCATCCAGATGGTGTGGATGGTATCAGGAGTTCTGCCGCGATGTGCGTTCGTGAAATTTGGCGGCTGGGATTAATCCGAACAATTCCTCAGAGCACTCCCCGTGGTAAATGCGAAAGAAAATGCAAAGGAAAGCAACATCTCTTCGCAGTGCCAATGAATCGAGCCGATCGGAAAGGGCTCGGTCGTCGATTGAATCGATTTTTTGATATTTTTTTACATGGTGTAAAATACCCTATTCTATATGAAAACCAAACTTCGCTGTGTAATTACGTCATAATAAGCGGTTGGTCAATATAAGCGGAGTTATAATAAACGGATTCTACTGTAAGTAATATACTTATTAATTTATTATAATATAAAATATTTTATTGGTTAATTTAAATTTTCAGGAGAATTTACCATTCGATATCTCTTTACTCGATATCGTTTCAATTGGGATGCCGTCAAGTTTAGTTTCTACAGCACTTTTTACACTTGTATACATGCATTTGGTAGGTATCATCTATTCAATTACAATCCAAAATTATAATTTATAACTAAATTGTCACGATTACGAGAGAAATTTTAATCCAGAAAATTGTTATTTATTTTGATAGTCAATTTTCATCACGAGGGTGACACGACCCTGAAGGCTTCTACATGGTAGAGTCACGCTGAAGCTATATTATGGTTCTAGCATAAATGAGTCGGCCCGACCGGGGACTACGTCCTTATAGAATACAAGCGTAAATTAGCAGCTTAATACTGTTGTGTTTTGTATAGTGAGTGTAGGGATCTAAAACCCTTTTTATTGGAAACGAGACATTCCATCTTAGTCCTCAAGGGTGACAACGCATCTGCAGTTTGATTCTTAATTGCCTGCCTATGGGCCAAAGCATCCATTTATCATCAGGTGAACTGTGTGCTCGTTTTTACCCTTTCTTATATAAACTTGTATATTAGTACCACAAATATAAGCGCTAGCCCTAGGAAACTCTCTCGTAGTAATATACTCGTGCCTGATGTAACCCTTATATTAGAATGCAGGTAGGCTAGAATGCACTTTTAGAGACACGGAGTTTATCCGAATGCAACAAAACAGAAAACCATTGCGTTGTGTTTTTTCGTAAAATGTTTGCTTTGAATAGAATTCAAAATTAGGAACCGTAGCGTATTGATCATATACTGTAAAGTGGTGTGATATTTCCCGTGTCTGTAATCTTAGATCTACGAGGGGAGATCAAAAAGTTCGCGGAATGAAAGCGAAAGGATGTGCAATTAAACATGAAATTATTTTTCATTTTAGATATTTTCTCCATTAACCTTAATACATTTTTCAGAAAGTTCATATAACTTATTTATACCTTTGAAAAAATTAGGTTTGTCAAGGCACTCAAAATAGGCAAAAATTGCCAACTACACTGCTTCGTCATCTGTACTAAATTACTTTCCCGAAGCTGTTTTTTTTTCATAATTACGTAGGAACAAATAATAATCCGAAGCAGCCAAATCTGGACTATAGGGAGGGTGATATAAAGTTTCGAAGCCACGCTTGTGGCCTCTAAAAAGCTTGGCGTGCTCAGCAGAGCGGGACAGTATTTCATGCCGGCACACCGCCTGCAACTTTACAAGGCGCAGGTTCGGCCTCACATGGAGTACTTTTCCCATCTCTGGGCAGGGGCTCCCCAATGCCAGCTCCTTCCACTTGACCGCATCCAGCGCAGAGCGGCTCGAATCGTCGACGACCGAGCCCTTTCAGATCGGCTCGATTCATTGGCACTGCGAAGAGATGTTGCATCTCTTTGCATTTTCTATCGCATCTACCATGGGGAGTGCTCTGAGGAATTGTTCGGATTAATCCCAGCCGCCAAATTTCATGAACGCACATCGCGGCAGAACTCCCGATACCATCCACATCATCTGGATGATTGGCGGTCCACCACTGTGCGATTTAGAAGATGTTTTCTTCGTCGCACGACTTCGTTGTGGAATCGATTACCATTTTTTCGATTTACCTTCAAGAAAAGAGCCTACTCCTTTTTAAAAGGCCGGCAACGCATCTGCAATTCCCCTGGTGTTGCGGTTGTTCATGGGCGGCGGTAGTCACTTACCATCAGGTGAGCCGCATGCTCGTTTGCCCCCTCTTCTATAAAAAAAAAAAAGTAACTCTAGTGAATGGGTGCGTTTTGTGTAAAAGGAGCACAACTAGAAACCACTTTTCCCTTCTTTTTCCTTTAATCGCATCTTTTAATTCTTCTAGGAGATTCTTAATGTGACAATGATATTGACACATTTATTTTTATAATAGAAATATAAAATTCCCTCTGAATCCCAAAAAACTGAAACCATAATCTGTCCAGCCGATTGTGCCACCTTGGACTTCTTAGGTCTTTTTTATGCGACTGCATGGACTCTTGCTTTAACTCAGGTACTTTGTGATGAACCTAAGTTTCATGTTCAGTTACAATTCGGTTCGTAATTTCATCACTGTTCTCATTACACATGTCTAAAACCTCGCGGGTAAACACCACCCGCTGCTGTTTCTGAAGCGGTGTGAAGTATTCTTGGCACCCATCTTGCACTGACCTTAGATATGCCAAGATGGTTATGGAGAATGTTTAAAACAATCTCATATATATATATATATATATACACATATATATATATATATATATATATATATATATATATATATATATATATATATATATATCATGTAAAAATAATTTTCTAACTGAAATTTTGTTTTAGGAGCACTAATTTCAATAAGTATTTTTAGCAGAAAATTAAAATGGGACGATTCTGTGTTAGGTTTAATTTCCAACCTCAGCAAAATCGTTGGAGCCTTGGCCACAGGTTTGGCTAGAAATAGCTTGGAGATGTACTTGGGTAAAACATGACAATATCTTTTATGTGTTTTTAATGATCTTTATCATTGTTTTTTGTGTTTTTTTTTTAATTTTAAATTATTTTATTTCAGCTGTTGCAATAGAGATGTTTAATGCGACAGCATTTACAGCATTAAGATCTATCTCATCTAAACTTGTAACGAGTGAAGAATTAGGTACGAAACTACGCAAAATTTCTTATTTTTTTAGAGATTGCAGGAAATTTTAAATCATAACACAAAATATATTAGGATTACGGAACATAATGCATATGTACCTTCATTTGTAAACAATCGAAACTTTTTAAAAATGACTTTTTTAGAAAATTTGTAAAATAGACGACTAAGACGTAGTAATATTTTGTAACCGTTATTTGTTTTTCTGGTTCTCATTGTAATAGCTTGTATTATTACATTATTATAAACCTACAATTTCTGTGAGCCAACGTACCTTCTTAGATAAAAAAATTAAATTTTAAAATTTTTAGTTAAAGCTCGGGTCAAACACATCATCATCATCATTAAGCTTATAAAACTCACAGCTTAACATACTCCTTCCTAGAGACTGCCATATAGGGGGATATTTGCCATAGTTGCCACGACTGACAGGTGGGCTCTTTTCATAGCTTTTTTTTTCTTGTTGATATTACGAAAACTGCTGCCCATCTACTGATTTATTTCTCTCTGTTACCTCTTACAATGAAATGATATGGGGTAGTGGATATTTGTACACCGCCACTGTTTAACATGATTATCTCGCCTAAAAGCTTAACCTAAAACATAATTGGCCTTACTACAAAATGTAGCTTATGAACGTAAAATAGACAGGACCTTTATGTGTTAGACTCTAGCTGTAATTGAAAATTGTAACAAATTTTAAATGATTTCAATTTTGATTTTGATTTTTTTTATTTTCATTTTCTCAATCAAGGAATAATATAAGTTCGTCACTGCCTGTTTTTATTACGTTATTTATAAGTTTCTAATAATAATAAAGAACGTATTTACGTATAAACAGTGATGAATTTCATCGTAGACCTTAGGGTTATCAACGTATCTGTGGGGGTCCACAAGGTGTGTGCTTATTCAGAAAACCTTTGCAATAAGGTAGAGCTTAGCCCGTTTTTACAATAACATTGTAAAAAACAATGGTACGTTTGAGGAGATACCATACTCTTATATTATATTATTGTTTAAGAGCCGCACATCCAATTTGGGTTCTAGATTAAAGGCTAAAGAGAATTAGTAAGATCAGAATCCGTGTGGCGTTCGATTATAACTTGTGGAATCGTTTGTTTGAGATTAGTGACAGGCTTCCACTTACTCATAATAATCAGTTGTTTTACAAGGTGATTTGCGATATCCGTTTTGTCATTTCTGCTTTTATAGACCTATCCATCAACATAGCTGGCTAACGGATGCTGCTTCCAATAACCAGTATGTTTAATCCATTTAAAATCTGATTTTATTTCCATTTTAAAATTATATCTGTCGCCAGAGCCCCGTCCATCAATCGCCCGGAAGCTTAGAGTTCTTTGAATTTGGGAACAAATACGGCATATTTCAAGTTATGACCCCGCAATTATATTATTACAGTAACACTGAGAATCCTTATTTTTAAGAAGCAATAAATCCATCGCGTATTTTCAGTGCGTATTGGCTTAATTTCTCTTCGAAATATTTTTTATAATTTAGGTATGCAGTTTTAATTACGGTATGTTTTTCTTCACTACCGAGAACGTGGAAAATCAGCTCTTAAAATTGCCATTTTGTTTGTGCTACCGTGAAATTCACCGCGAGGGTTTACCCCTGTCCCTGAACTAATATTTCTCTATTGTATACTATATAATATTTATCTAGTTAACTTTCCTCAAAATATTCTTTAGATCATTAAATGATTATATTATGATTATTTGTTATTTTTCCAGGAAAAATGATATCTTTTTTCAATTTAATGGAGGTGGTAACGTCAATGATTTTTGGGCCCTCTTACTCGTGGATATACATGATGACTCTAAAAGTAGATGCCGGGATTGTGTACTATATAAGCACTGGGCTGACAGTTCCACCTATTTTAATTTTTGGGTACGTCACATTGTATAATAAGTAATATTTTTTTATAGGATAAGGGTGACAAACGAACACACAGTCCACCTGATGGTAAGTGGTTGCTGTGGCCCATAGACATCTACATCTATCTTCGTAGACGAATCAAAATGCAGATGCGTTGTCAGCCGTGAGGACTAAAATGGAATGCCTCTTTTCCAGTAAAAAGGGTCTCCGGTTCTCTATACTCATCACACGAAACAGCAGCGTGAAGCTGCTATTTTACGCTGGTATTCTGTCAGAACGTGGTCCTTCCCCGGTCGAGACGACCCATTCGTGCTACTACTATACAACTAATATAGCTGCAGCATGGCTCTACCACGTATAAAATATATATAATAAAACCAATAAATGATACGTGTTAGAGAATTGGAATTATTTAGTTAGTGAATCCATCACCTTATTTCCCCCGACCCCGAGGGTATCGTAAAAGGCGGCTAAGGGAAAATCAACATTGATCTAATGGCTTACGTTAGATGGCGGTTTATCAACTCGTTTACACCAGATGTATATCATTCTAGCAAGCCCAGTGGAATGGATGCATCTTGAATAAAACTACTTTTACGGATTTTATCGCATTTTAATTATCTTATTTTTATTAATTCCTGACGTTTAGCGTGCTTTACAGTATTCAATGTGTAGTGTTCGCGTAAATATAAGAAATCATTATGGATGCATCGTTAAAATTGCAAAACGTCTGGTACTGTAATCCACTGTAAAACTGGGGAGACTTCTTCTAATATTATCTTTATTGAATTTCTCAAGTGCGTTCTTACCGGTTTACCAGGTACCGGTTTACCAATAGTAAAGATCGGATACAGCAATATTTGTTTGTATTCGAATGCAGAAACATGAATTTTGCTACATCATGCTTTTACAAGAGTAGGTGTTACAGATGCTCTCTTTCTATCTCTTTCTATCGGAATTAACCTACCTAAGCAGGAATATTGAAAGCTTGTTCTGAGCTGTAGCAGCTATGATTTCAAACGTAGCTCGTGAGACAGGAATAGTTGTTGAGGTTTAAACACAACAGGAAAATCTAATACTTTTAAAAACCTGTCGTTTTTCTGAGTTCCGTACCTTAAAAGAAAAAAAAATCGGAACTCATATAGATTCATTTAATTGTCCGTCCGTCGGTCAAGACCCTTTTTCTCAGCAACGGGTACAGATCTCAAGGTGATATTAATATCGGAAGCTTCTCGGTCCTATCTTGTCTACGGTTTTTACCGGTGTACATAATTTAAGCTTCTAATCCAACGTATTCAAATGATATGGCCATTTACTGCACAAATTGTGACTCTCGCAAACTTACTCCTTAAAATCTACAGGGTATTGACGACCTCAAATCATGAAATATGGCAAGCCCTACATACAAGTGAAAAAAATATACGAAAATTCATAATTCGTGGTTATATCACATTAGAAATATTATTGCGTTTACAGACTTACGGTTGCGCTTGGAGTATCGGCCGTTATGTGCGGGAGAACGTTTTATTTCACTGCAAATTTAAGTATGTCCCACAATCCAAAATAAATTTTCGTTAGAGAAATGTTGCTGACCTTACCTATGATTCCCAAGATGGTTGAACTTTTTACACAAATAAATAAGTTTGTGCCCAACCCTCAGGGCACGAGTTCTGCTCACACTTGTTCTATATTTTCCTGTTACGATAAATATGCCTCACTCCTACTAAACAGCGCAGTGGCGCAAAACATTTGGATGCGGTGCTGGTGACCATGGAACAACATACAATTAGTATATATAGGGTGAGAAAATTATTATAACGGTCCTGAGTGTTTGTGAAATACCTCCTTGACAAGCAAGGGGTCATTTTGTCATGTTTCTTTACGCCTATCGACAATTGTATAGTCAAACCGGCACTCAAAACTGCTGAAAATAGGAAATTTTGCAATGTAAAAATGTGAATTCATCATGATGTTTAAGTAACATTTTGTGTTTGGTCCAAATTAATAAATTGATTATCAAATAATCCGGCATCTTATATCTAAGTTTATTTGATATTTAAGGTGAATAATAATATGAAAAATATTCGCCGAGAAATATTATTATAGTTACCGTTAAAGCCTATCAAAATTCCACACCTCCTATAGTAATACCTTATAGATATTTGCCCTGGATATTTGCTATAGTTGTCACTGGTAACCGCAGAGTTTTATTTCTAAGTTTCTTGTAAGAAGACGCTGCTGCCCATCTCCAGGTTTGTTTTCCTCTGTCGCCTCTTACAACACCCACGGTACGATATGTTGTAGGTTTTTATTATTTTTCCATCGCCATTACACGGTCAATTATTACTAGGGTATATTTTTTAATTTAATAATTTCAACACAAAAAGAACCGAGCATACTTAATATGAATTGTTTAATTGCAGATGGTTTTTCATGCAACATCGAAAGGGTATAAGAAGACAAAAATGTAAAGAATCTAAAGATAAAGGTGATCAAAATGATGAAACAAACAAAGAAGACTTCCTGTTTAGCAGCATAGATTTAGCAGATAAAAAAATATTTATGGAATGATTTGTGTAGCATATATGATTAAAGTCTGTATGAAAAATTAAATAAACACTTTATGAGTATAACATATTATTGTTATTATCTCGAGACGTTTCCTTGAGGCCGTCTAGTAGTGTGATTTGTTGGTATGAAAACTTTATCTCAATCTCCGCTGTGGCATTGGCGTTATAATATTAGTTGTTTTAAAAATCAGTACCAGTTGAAGCCACTGTCAATATTGCCCTATCAAAATTTTGTTTATTACGATACTCGTACTTGACGTTTAAAGTGATATTTTCCTATCGTTCTCAAAATAATAATGTATGTACCGAGGAATTTCCCTAATTAATATTATAATTGAAAAATATGGCTCTTAAAAATATATCAAGATGTATAATTAAACCTACATCGTAGTTTCACACTTTCAAACTTAATTACATAATATAAAACATAATACATAAACACTCACGCCTGTCACCCAGAGGGGTAGGCAAAGATTATGGACTTCCATTTGGCACGATCCTGACACACCTCTCTCGCTTCCTCCACATCCATATACCTACGCATACACGCTCGTCGGTTAAAGGTACTCTTGATATGGCCCATTTTTAATATATCGCCAATTTGGTCGATAAACTTTCGCCTAGGGCGACCCTTCCCGACTATGCCGTTCACCTCTGCAACATATATATGTGTGTGTGTGTGGCGATCTATCTCAGATCCTACTTTCCATTTAAAATTGTTAGTTCGTCAAGTCAACCACCTCCTGTTGATTCTGCTGAACATTTGCTGGTTGAAGTCTCCCTGTCTCAGAATAAAATCCTACTTTGAGTTTTCTACAGTCCCTCTCTTTCTGTAAACTATTTTACTTCTTTCGAATCTCTCTTAGAATCACTAGTCCCTACGTATAGTCACACTATTTTGATGGGTGACTTTAACACCTGTTTACTTAAAGGCGACAATCGGGCTATAAAACTTGAGTCTATAACTGAAGCGTGTAATATGCAAATCCTACCCCTTTCTGCTACTCATAACTTTCCTAACAGTACTCCTTCCCTTCTTGACTTAATAATGGTGTCATCTTCAAATCTAGTTTTCAAGCATGGACAGTGTCCTGCTGATGCATTCTCTTATCACGATTTAATTTTTCTTTCGTATAAACTACGCCTTCCTAAAATCAAACCTAAATTAGTTCTGCGACGTAATTTTGGAGGAATGGATATTGACCAACTTTGTCAAGATGCTCTCAATATTGACTGGTCAGTGATTGAGAAGGCTCCGTGCATTGACGATAAAGTGGAACTTTTTTGTTCCCTACTCACGCAGCTTTACGACGTTCACGCGCCAATGCATTATGTGAGACTCAAACACTTGCCTGCTCCATGGCTCTCAGATGATCTGAAAAGGCTTATTTTAAAGAAGAATGTGGCATTGTCAAAGCTTAAGAGGAATAGAACAGATGAAAATTTAAGGAAATACGCCAAAATCAGGAATCGCTGCAACACATTATGTAGAGATGCACAACGACGCCATATTCATACATCAGTCGAGAACGGCGACTCATCTAGGGTGTGGAAGTTTCTTAAAACAGTTGGAGTTGGTAGAACATCCCTACATGCTTCACCTCCTAGTGTTGATTTTGAACTATTAAATCAACATTTTTCTAATCCTTCTAACTCTTTTGATAGTGTCCATAAACTGCAAACACTTCGTTCTCTTTCTGTAACTCCGACTCCTAATTATCCTCCGTTCGTTTTTAGTCAGTTTACTGTATGTGATATTAAGAAGATCATATTATCCATTTCCTCAAATGCTGTCGGTAGCGACAACATTAGCCATAATATGATTATTCCTCTCCTTGATGTTATCACTCCCATTATCACTCATTTACTTAATGCATCTGTCTCTTCCTCTAAATTCCCTCAAGCCTGGAAGAGTGCTCATGTTATACCCCTTCCGAAGAGATCTAATCCCGTCAACCACTCTGATTTTCGTCCCATCTCGATCTTACCTTTCCTTTCTAAAGTCCTTGAAAAACTAATTTACCAACAGCTGACCCTTTTCCTCAATGAGCACAATTTATTAAACTCTTTACAATCTGGTTTCCGTCCTGGTCATAGTACGGCTACTGCCTTAATCAAAGTTACTGATGACATACGATGGGGTATGGATAATAAACTACTCACAGTCATGACCTTGCTGGATTTCAGTAATGCGTTCAATACTGTTGACTTTGATATACTGTTGAGTCTGTTGTGTTCCCTTAACATATCTCCATCAGTAATTAAAGTTTCAAAGTTATCTCTGTGGCCGTCGGCAGTGTATTCGTTTCGATGAAACTCACTCATCTTGGTGTGATATTACTGCAGGCGTGCCGCAGGGTGGCGTGTTGTCACCTTTACTCTTTTCCATTTTCATTAATTTAATTACTCATAAAATATCTTCTCTCTACCACATGTATGCGGATGATGTCCAGATTTACACACAGTCAACTCTTTAGAATTTGCCGAATGCAATCGCTACATTGAATAACGATCTAAATATTATTCATGATTGGAGTAAATCATATGGCCTAAATGTGAATCCTAAAAAGTCTCAGGCTATCATTATTGGTAGCCAGAGTTTTATCTCAAGAGTTGATTGGTTCACCGTACCACCTATAGTATTCGATGGAGTTGTAATCCCTTACTTTGACAATGTCAAAAACCTTGGTATTTATATTGATAATTCCTTAAATTGGATACGCCAACTGAATGAGGTAAGTAAGAGAACCTTTGTCGCTCTTTGTTCACTGCGTCGCCTTCGATCATTTCTTCCCATTCCTACAAAAATTATGCTCGCACAGTCTCTTCTCCTTCCGATCCTCGACTATGCTGACGCAAGCTATGTAAACATAACTGAGGACCAGCTAAATAAACTTGAGAGACTTCAAAATACTAGTATTCGGTTCATATTTGGATTGCGCAAATATGACCATATTTCCCAATTTCGCTCACGTATCAAGTGGTTACCTATCCGACTTCGCCGGAACATGCATATTCTTTCTATTCTCTACTGTGTATTATTTCATCCTTCTGCTCCTCCCTATCTAAAAGAGAAGTTTAATTTTGTGGGGCTTCCGGGAGAACCTCTACGCTCTTCTAGAAAATTAGTTTTAAGGGTACCAACTCACAAAACATCGTTTTTTAATAAATCACATACGTGAAGCACAATCTATTGTAATCTTTAAGAAACTACTTAAAGAACATTACTTGTCTCAATCGTCCGGAGACCGTTAAGATAATTATGTGATTATGTATTTATTGTATTTATCAGCTTTATATTATTGTTTGAGGAAATTTGTAATTTATTTATGTATTTTTGGGTAGATATGTAAGTTCGTTTATATACTCTTATATATGTATGTTTATGTATGTATTATATGCTTTACTTTATCTTTTATTATGTATTAGTAATTTATATCATTTCATGTGTTAGTTATTTATATGTTATTTTATTGCATTTATTGTCTATATGGGTACAAAATATAATATCAATAAATGCGATATTGATATTATATTTTGTACCCAGTATTCATTGTTTATTCCTTTATACCATTGGTTGCCTGGAAGAGATCGCTATGTAGCGATAAGGCCGCCAAATTGTACATTTAACCTGTCTATTGTTATGTAATTTGTTTATTAGTTTGTGGTGTACAATAAAGTATTTTCATTCATTCATATATTTGCTTTGTCACTCTTTCCTCATTCATTCTTTCTACATGGCCAAACCACCGAAGCATTCCTTTCTTTATTAATTATTCCTTACTTAATTACGTTGTACAATAGGATTCTGTAAGTGAACACGGTCATTATTTGATTTATCTTCTTATTTTTTAAGAAGTATTCTCATTAATTGCATACGCATATTTCTATTATAAAACTGCTATTAAGTTTGTTAAATGTACCATGTGATAGTATTTATTGTTTTACAGCTACATCCAGGTTGAAAAAGATCCTACACCAAGACAGTTATCATGGGCCACACCTTAAGCAAAATCCATCATCAAAAGGACAGAGCGAGCTAATAAGGCGTTTGCACTCGCAAAATATTCTGATGTGGATATAATAAAATTCTAGGGATGTTTTGTATAAATACACAAACCAAACGCTCCACTACGCCCAATAGTAAGCCAGATTGATTCACCAACTTATGAGTTGGCTCAACACTTGGCTAAAATATTGTCACCACTGAGAGGACACACCAGAGCACAAACAAAGGATTCCTACCATTTTGTTAATGAGAAAAAAGACCTACATCTCGCTGAGAATGAAACTATGGTCAGTTTTGATGTTCAGTCACTATTCACTTGCTTAACTATTGAAAACTGCATCCCAATTGTAACTAGGAAGCTAGAAGATAACAATATGCCAACAGAATATGCAGTATTTCTCAAACACTGCCTCAGATCTGGCTATCTATTTTGGAAGGAAGAGTTCTACAAGCAAGTATATGGTATGGTAATGGGCTCAACTGTATTTCCCGTAGTCGCCGACGTCTTCACGGGGGGACTTTGAGGAGAAAGCCCTCTTACTGCTACTGTAAATACAATATTGTACAAGCGATACGTCGACGACACTTTCACAATTTTACCATTTGACAAAGGAACTGCAATTTTAGACCACCTTAATTCCATAAACTCTAAAATACAATTCACAATGGGGTTAGAGGCAAACAATTCTTTCGCTTGCCTAGATGTTTTAGTCATCTGAAATCCTGATAACACTATTGGTCACACTGTGTATAGGAAAAAGACCTATACCAACCGGTATTTAAATGGTGAATCGAACCATTATCCATCACAGTTATATACCGTGGGAAAATCTTAGTTACAAAGAGCACGAGAGATCTGTGACAGAAAACATCTGGCCGACGCGCTTCAGCACGTTAAGGGGCTACTCTATGCGAACGACCTTGAGAATTTTGTGTGCCGTCCCGACTCGCTACAATATATCGCGTAAGAAATATGTAAGACGCCACCTACT